AGCTAAGGGGAAGTCAACCCCATAGGTACCCACGCCTCCAATACCCTTTCCAAATAGAAAGAAGTAGGCGTTCTCTTTGGCTTGGTTTGCGTTGCCCTTGCGCCTTTTGATCGCTCTTTCTGTGTTATCGAGGTAGCCTTCCTGCCAGGATTTGAGAGTTGAACGGGAGAGCTGTGTGCCGTTATCCAGCTTCAGAATGCGGCGACGCTTGTTGGCAGGAGCAAGTGCTTGGTCGCTCTGGACCTCCCGAGAGGCTTTGGGGACCGATGACTCCTCTCTCAAAAGCGGAAGGGGGTCGCTTCCGAGCAAGGGCACGGCATGTTGCGCGTCGATAGCAAGGCCATCGCCAGCAACTTGATGATCGTCCGCGAACTGATCTTCCTGAACTTGAAAGTCGGCCTCGCCCATGTCGATCCCTGCAAGCTCCGGTAACTCGAGCTCGTCTTCGTCCAGGATGACTGCCCCGTTTTCGTCAATTGCCAGCTCCACGCCACCAAAGTTGTCGAAGTCGTCTAACACTCCGAAAGGGTCTGCATTCATGTCGAGTTCCATATCGTCCCGAGATCGAGGAAGGAGCGTCTTCTGTGCAGAGCCTTGTGCGAAGGGGGAAGGCAAGCGGAAATCTGGGATGTCTGGCGACTGGGAAAAGTTGAGATGGAAAGGCGAGTTTCCGTGGCTGCTGTTGTCAGGGAAGTCGATGGGATCCGGAAATGGGCTGAGTTGCGACTGCGACTTATTTTTGGAAGCCGAAGAAGACTGACTTCCAGCAATGAAGCAGGGACTACCGTCGTCGTCAATGATGAAGTAGGGCATAACACTCGAAGGAACGAAGCCCGGGTCGTCGCTCAAGGTGATTTGCTCGCGCCTGGCAAAGTCAGCAAATGTGTTGAGAGAGGATTGTCGGGGGACATGCCCTGCTCTTCCGGCCTTAGGATCAGTCTCGTTGTTGGCAATGAGTCTGAGAAAGGTTCTCATCGTCGTTTGAACCTTTTCTGTATCGGTGAGCATGTATTTACACTGCGATGAGTAAACACGGGAGACCCCATAGAGGAGATTGCTTTGCAGACGGAGTGAGATGGGAGCTCCCGGCTGAATGATCTTCTCGCAGGCCTTCCGAATATCGACATCTTCGATAGCCCGACGGGACACCTTTTTATGAGTGCCAGCGCCACGAGGACCAATGGTCGCAATGACCCTGGAGATAAGGGATAAGTATAAGGGTTTTTTCATACGGACAAGGTCTGACTTACCAGATGGTCGCAACACCGAACTGGTGGCTGGTGAGGACTGCTTGGTGTTAGTAATAGGTGGGATCGGGTGTAAGACTGGAATGACCAACTCTCGTGACTGTAGAACATGATGGTTTCTACACAAGAGATCAACGCCGTCGCGGCGGGAGTTGAAGCTTCGAGACGACTAGACTTGGCAGAAAGTAGGAGGTTGGGCGTGGTCTTTGTGATGTTGGTGTGGAAGTGACGGGGTGAGAGTGGAAGAGAGTAGAAGGAACGACATAGAGAGAGGACAAGCAGTCACGTCGTGGCGCGTCGACGGATCAGGCAGGCTAGACTATGCCTTCCGTATTAGAGCATTGTTGCCTCGCGCTTGCCCAAGTGCTCCTGCCATATCGAGAATTTTCCAGCTTGCAGAAGGTACGTTCACCAATGGGCACCTGCCTCTTCTAATGGGCACCTAAGGTACCTCAGATGAAGACAGGTACGGGTACGCGCAGTTCGATCTGTTCAGATTGGCTGGCTCATACCTGCTACTCCAGACACCATTGTGTCCCAAACATCATTCTCAAGGCATCGTGATATCATGCTGGATGCTCTGCCTTACAGGCTCGGCGGAAAGTCAACGGAGTATCTGACTAATAGTACTCAGTTCTTCCTAGGAACTTGACAGAATGACATAGATGATTGCCGAGCTTGTCTTGTTTGAGTGGAGCAATTGATAGATATTCTAGCCTTGGTAGTCCGTCGCTTACCGTCAGTATCCATTTTGTTACTTTAAAAACTACCTACCTTACAAAGATGCCATACCCAGGTGTTATCTTTACGTCACAGCTAGCACCTTTTGCGACACAATTTAGACTTGGCTGGCGTTTATGGTTTTGATATCTCGGAGAACAATAACCCCAAACTGAGGTAGACTAAGGAATTGGTAGCGTGGGACTTCTACTCGACTAAGATTTGAGTAAGAGAGATATCAAAAATTGAGGAAAGATGTGTGCATTTGGGACTGTTGAGATGTTTTATTCACTGGTACTCGTACTAGAAGTCAGGCTTTCTGATCAGAGTATCTTGAATTGACAAGAGGAAGCCTCAATTTACAGAGGGCTTGAAATTGCGATTGAGGAGGACCACAATAGAAGGAAGCTTGCTTGGTTTTAGAAGTTGAAGGCTCTACTAAGGATGTTCTCATATCAAACCCCCAAACTTCGATATGCTTCTAGTTGATATTAATGAGCTTAGAAACATGAATAACCGTCGGCAATATAACAACCCAATTGAAATTACTGAAGATCGCTTTTTTGGCCACTACTATATGAGATCGCGAATAATTCATCCTGTGGTTAAGACTTGAGGTTACGATGGGACAACAGATGACATAAGCATTGGATGGCTCCAGTGTGCACAGATCCTGAGACCCCTGCAAAACCCGACAGGAACCTAAGCCGGGCCCAGTAAGGTACACCCGGAAGTCGGCAGGCTGATATTCCGCTGGGTCGTTGCTGGGTCAGGCCTGGGTGCCTTTTCGCATTGGAAAATCATCACCACGGGCCATGTGAAGTCGACCACAGTAAGGCACTTTCTTTGTCCTCACAGAGCCAAAGGCACAACAGCGACTCGGCGGCCACCACACACTCCTTTTCCCAGTCGTCTTTAACTCCCTGCGTCCGAGTTAGAGTGCGATTGATTGTGTTTGCCTGCCTCGAAGCACGTCGAAGCTCCTTTTACCGCCGCCTCTGCGACAGCTACCCCGGACCGTCTTACTCGACGAGGCAGCATCCTCCTAATACCAACAACGCGATGGCGCCTCTCATTCTTCACAATGTCCCCGACGAGGAGCTTTACATTGGAGACGACGGCATCAAACGGCCCTACGCCATGGTTTTCCCACAGTACGTCTCGAACACAACCGCGCTCAACTGCAAGCTCAATGCCACGCGCAATGACATGCCGCTAACACAGACTTTCCTCCCCTTAGACAAGAAGGCCTTCCTGGCGCCCGCCGCCGCGGCGTAGCAGAGACTGGATCTTTTGGAAAATCAACACGCCGCTCGCGTTCGAGAACAGGAACTCCCGCCGGCCGTCGCGAAAACCCAACAGTCGCAGCCGCCGACAAGATCTTTGGCGACTGGATCTCCTCCCAAGCCACAACTTCCAACTCCAACCTCGCGCCTTCATCAACATCGGGCAGCGGCGCGACGAACCCTTCCTCCGCCTCCGGTGCCAACGCCGCACCCCAGCGCAAGACCTCCGGCCTCTCGCAGCCGCCCCTCCTTGCAGCCGACGACGCGCCCGCCGCCGCCGAACCCCGCGTAACCCGTCACGTCCCGACTGAAGTCGTCCTCCGCGGCTACCGCTCCGCATCGCAGCAATACGCCGCAATCTCCCACTACGAGCAGCTTGCCGGTCTCATCTGCGAGGACTACCCCCGCGAACCGCCCCTCGAGCAGCGCCGCTACAAGTCAGAGCTCCGCGACCCTGCCTTCACCCGCCGAAGGGGCCTCACGCCTGAGGAGCGCGCAAAGGTCAACCGCGCCGACGGCGGCCAGCACTGGATAAAGGTCACCTTCGAGTCCGCAGACGCCGCCGATGCCGCCGTCTACGCCAGCCCCCAGCGCGTGCTGGGCTACCTCGTCTACGCGGAACCCTACCACGGCCACCAGCCTGCCCGCGACGAGCCCATCCCAGACGTCGACTCCCTCGTCCCCAGCGCCGACGATCTCGGCCGCTCACAGTCCGTCCCCGCAGGCAGCTTCGGCACCCACCGGACGCCGCGCAGCAAGCACCGCACCGCATCGTCCAACAAGCCCACCGGCGGCAACCCCTTTGCCCTCCCCAACGCCCGCTCCATGAGCGACCTCTCCCCGCCCACGTCCCTCACCTCCTCCAACACGATCGAGACGGCCACAATCTCCAACGCGACAAACTCGTCCGCGACGGTGACCGCCGACCCCTTTGCGCAGCAACAGTCTGCGCTGACCACCGCCACGACGACCACCGAAGACAGCCTCTTCTGCCGGCGCATCCCCACCGCGCGCAAGGCTAAGCTCCTCCCCGCCGAGCAGGCCCTGCTGCCGCAGCAGAGCTACACCCAGAGGCTGGTCAACATGGTGCCGTTTCTGAAATGGTTCAGCGGCTCCATGATTGGCAACGAGGTGCCGCGCACCGACAACGGCGACTTTGACTGGAACCGCGCCAGCTTGTACTGGAAGGTGATTTGCTGGCTCGACTCGACGTTTGGGCTCTTTGGCGGCGAGATCATGAGCGCCGACAAGGACGATTAAGGGGGTTAGATTAATGGACTTGGAGACGAGTTGAGGACTTTCAATAAAGGGGGGGCTTGTGGGGGTTTAACTTGACGGGCGAGATGGACGGCGTTCGGAAAGGGGCTGGTAAACGGGCGGGGGTTTTAACAAAAAGTTTCATGTTCTATACGAATACCACGCGCATAACTACTTTGTTTATAGTTCATAGATTTGGGCGAGCAAAAGCAGGTTCGGTCAGAGACCAAGCACCGAAACAGAGATTTGAGAGGCTCAGGCAGAGAATTACTACATGTCCAGATCAATTGTCGTTGCGTGGAAAATCGTGTGCGGGAAGAGTTTGTCAACCAGAATATGTATAACAGACTATGTATCTATGCAAAGCGCCCAGGAGAAAAGCCAAAGGGGAGCGACCCCTCAACCCACCATGTCAAGGTGGTGGTAGGTTTAAAAAAAAAAACGCCGCCTCTAAATGGGTATAACAAGAATGAATCATGAGTCTTTTTCGCCGCCGTCAAAACCTCCGAGCAGAGCAACCACCGAAAACTTGAACGGGAAAGGAGAACATCTAGGCGTCGTCTTCATTCACACTCCACCGCCGTCCAGGCCGCCCCCTCTCCTCCGACCCGCTCGCGATTGCCGCCTCGTCTTGCGCGGTGGTATCTTCCACGACGGCAGTGTCTCCAAGCAACGCCGCAGACTCTCCTTCTTTTTCTTCTTCTCCTCTTTCAGTAGGACTTTTGGAGTCAACCGGCTCGTCGCCCCAATTCTGCCTCTCCCCGAGAGTCTCGTCTTCATCTTCCTCCTTGAGCACATCATGCCGCCTCTGTTCCACCTTATCCTCCGGGCTCTTGTGCTCTTCGCTCCTAGGCTCCTCACTCAAGCCAACCCCTAGACTATCAAACGTAACGTCGGTAGCGTGCCGTCGGATAGGCTGCGGCGAAAACGGCCTCACGCCCCTGGGTCGGTTGAAATTCGTCTCGGAAAAGATGCTATCCGTATCGTTATCGTCGCCGCCAAAACCAGGCGAAGGTCCTCCCGCGGCGGCAGCAAGACTCTGGTACCGCTCCGGGTCGCTGAGCAAACTATCGCCCCGCGCGTGACCCCCTCGCCTCGTCATATCCGACGCCGCGTCCGCGAGGATACTCTTGGGCGGGAGAATGCTAAACAGCTTCGCCGTTTCAGCCGACCCGCCGCCACCACCTACACCACCGCCAATAACGCTTCCCAGCCCAGAGTGGTCACCGACCTCGTCGCTGGCAAACAGATCCGCGCCCTTCTCCAACAACTCGTCCAGTCCGCCGCCGCTCCACCCTTTCCGCGCAAGCGACTCGAATATGTCGACCTCGGCGCGCACAAGACTACACGACGACTCGAGGATCCGCCCGCTGGTATCCTGGCTCTCCCGCAGCAGCGTCCGCGCGTGCTCCCCGTGCAAGGACGTCAACCCATCCAGCCTTGTCGTCAAGTCCACCAGGTGCGCCCTGAACTTGCCCACGTCGCGCCTACGCTGCTTATGCAGCTTCAGCCCTTCCTTTTCCAGCTTCCTGATCTCGGCGTTGCGGGCCTTGACCTCGCGCACGTAGGCCTCCTCCTCATCGTCGACGCGCTGCCGCCATTGGTCTAGCTCGTGGAGTAAAGGGACCTCGAAGTCGCGGTAGACGGTCTCGGAGAGGATCTGCTGGTGGTTCGCGACCAGATGGTGGACGCCCGAGGCGGAAAGGAGCAGGTCGGCGGTACAGGACCCTTTTGGTCCGCCGGCCGTGAAGCTCGCCGATAACAGGCCTCCACCGCCGCCGCCTCCCCCTCCTCCCGAGAGGCCGTTTATGCCGCCCGATAGGGACTCTGCACGGGCTTCTTTGAGTCTTGCGCAGGATTCCAGTGCAGAACCGAAGGCGGAGGCTGCGGTGGAGAGGGATGCGAGGGCGATACGATAGGCCTTTGCGGACTGAATCAGGTCGGTGTAGGCTGTCTGAGAAGACTCGAGGTCGGATTTGGTGAGGACGGCATGTACGGGTTGCGGTGGTGGCGGGAGGGGCAGGTGGTAGGAGGAGAGCGGGTTCGCGGTCGAGGCGAGGGAGTAGACTGGCGACGCGGGAACCGGCGGGAGTTGTGAGGGAGTTGGGGTTATGGGGCGGGAGTCGCCTGGTGCGCCTTGCGATGCCATCGTCGGGCTTGGAGCTTCTGGGAGTTTTGCGGTGAACTTTCTCCCTTTCACCGTCTAGGCGCCGTTTCGTTTGCTTTTCTTTTTGTTTCTATTGGCGATAGCAAACAGCTGCGGGAGTATGGTATCTTTGGGAGGGGAGGAAGATCTCGGGGCTTCGGGTTTGCTATGTGCCGGGATGTGTGCGACAGGACTGGAGTTGTGGGCTTTGTTTTGTTTATCGTGGTCTGTACAACGCCAGTGCGGACAGTGACATGCTCAACGGGCCCGTTGAGGATCAAGAATAAGAAACGAGAGGGTTTGCGATGAGAAGCGCTCCCACCGGGACGATGAAGATAATGAAGAAAAAAAAAAGAGGGAAGAAATGGGAAAGTTGTGGTTGGAGATCTTTTTTTTTGGAGAAACGCAAGACGAACGCCGCCGCTGCTGCCCGGGTTGCTGCTGGATGCAGATGCAAGCTGCAGCTTCCCAGGAAGGACAGCACAAGGTCACCACCCGTTGGGACTTGGGAGGGTTCCGGCTGGCTCAGGATTGGGGCATCTGGCGCATCTGGCGCATCTGGCGCATTCTGGGCTGGCGTCTTTTGCATGTCCATGGGGGCCCATGGCGCTGGGAGACCTTGTGATTCGGGGGACTGTGGGTGGGGGGAAAGGGGACCCGCAGGTGACCCTGGAAGATGCCCTGCTTTGCGGCAGGCGGGAGGGAAGACTAAAGAACAGTTGCTGCAGCACCACACACCGCAGTGAAGAATGAAGGTGAGATAAGACGAAGGCCCTTGGACGAGACAACGCTAAGGTAGCGCAACCAAACGGCGGATTGACGAGCTTGCCACAAGTTGGTTAGCTTAGTCTGACATGGTTAGGTAAGCTCATTAAATCTTTGCATGTCTGTGTATGTTGTGTGTTTGGGAATGTGAGGCAAGGAAACCCTCTCACTGAGTTGCTTAATGAGAGACATTGTCCATGATTGCATTTGAGCGTGATCTCACTCTAATCTCTCATGACGGGTCCACGGGGCGATTTGAAACGAAACTACTTCTCAGATAGGCCATCGAAGATCAGACAACTTATTCTACATCATCGATTTCGTTCACTCTCACTTTACAGGACCATGCATACATACATTCTCATCGTGCGATTGGCCTAGTGGATGTATGCTTTTGGTATTGGAGATGATGTATCATGGCATGTTGTTTATCATGAGCAAGACTGGGTCTATCGGACATGTTCTCTGTCGAAAAAAGACCATCCCCTCCCGGCTCCGTGGCTCTGTCTACCCTTCAGTTGCCTCGTGCTCTTTCTACATACATAAACACATCTTCCAGCTACCTTTTTCCTAGAAAGATCTCTGCCAACAGCACCCTACTTCTGAGTAGGCGGGAGTCTCTCCAACAAGAAGGCTTCGACGTCGTCCAACTCTTCAGGGCAAGCAGCATGGCCCATACCCCTGTGATTCATGTCAGCATTCCGCCCTAATTGTGACCTGGCCCTATGAAGAAGGAAGTGAGAGGGCGACAGAGAATACTCACGGGTAAAGCGTCCTCGACACCTTATACCCAAGCCCCTTCAACGCATCCATACTCAGCGCCCCCAACTCGGGCCTAACAAGCGGATCCGCGTCGCCGTGGCCCAGCCACACAGGCGTCTCCTGGTTCGCCTTCTCCTCGGGGACCAGCCCGGCAAACTTGTTACTCAGCAGCAGCCAGCACGACAGGCCCACGATGCCGCCGATGCGGTGCTTGCCCGTCAGACCCGAAAAGATGGCCATGGCGCCGCCCTGGCTGAAGCCGCCGAGGACGACGCGCTCGGCGGGGATGCCGGCGTCCACCTCGGCCTGGACGAGCTGCTGGAAGTACTCTGACGAGGCGAGGATCCCCCGCTCGTCTTCGGATTCGCGGAGGGCCTCGACTGTGCCGTCGAGGACTTTCTGTGGGTGGGGGGTGGTGGTTAGCTTGGGCGACGATGAGGATGATGAAGATGCTTGTGCCTGTTGTTGGCGGTGGCGGTCGAAGATTGTAGCGCGACTTACAATGTCGAACCAACCCGGCATGCGCATGCCCCAGTTCTGTGCATGATGTTAGTAATCGGCAACGACTTCCACATTTTCTAAATAGGATAGCATATAAAGTGAGACAAGGTGTCAACTTACACAGGTAATGGGGATCTGAGGCGCATGAGGCAGCACAAACTTGACCTCATCAAGCCTCTGCCTCCGCCGCCAGTTCTCAACGGCGCTCGCCCAGCCGTGGCCCGTATCGCCGAGGCCGTGAGCAAAGATGACGGTAGCCGTGTGCTTTCCCGCGGCCGGGAACACGAGCGGGGCCGTCCGGGCGACGGAGGACGACATGGCTTCGTAGGTGGTAGGGGGTGAGAGAAAGTCGGGACCTTGCGCTTCTGCGATGCCTGCGAGAGAAGGGTGATGAGGTGGCAGGGGGTGGAGCTCTTCTGCCTCAGAAAGCGGATCCTGCTGCTCGAGGTGCTTTTGTTCTTGTTGTTGTTGTTCCTGTTGCGGTGTGGCGGCGGTGAAGGGCGCGAGGAGGGTGAGGAGGATGGTTGTTGCGGTTACTCGCGAGACGAGCATTTGCGGATTGTGTCAAGCAAGGGCAGGACAGGACAGACAAGAGCTGAGAGACGACGCGGCGAAAGCTCGGGCGGCGGGCCGATTCAGATGTGGGTTTTGCTTACCCTTTCTCCGATGGCGTATGCGGGGCGCTGATCCGGGCTCGGTACCGTTTCTCAATGCAGCTTGCACTGTCCTATCCGTGGAAACGGATGCTTACTCGTAAGATATACGTAGGAAACACAGGGATCACCATCTCTTGGTGCGCTTGCTGAGATTCGAACTCAATCTCGTAGCCTGTCGCTGAGTACTAAGACAGCAGGTGTATTGATTCCTGACCTTGAACTATGGAAGGTCAGGTAAGGTACTCCACCAACCAGCCCAGTTTGATCTAACCCGTCGGCCTTGATGGACACATTCTGGCCGGTGAGAGGAATGGTATAAGACTATGAGAAGGTTCCTGTCGGTCTGTATTCCTTGCGTCATTGGAACGTCCTCCTTACTTATAGCAATGCATGCGGTGTAAAAACGTAGAAGGAGAGCAGCAAGCACCCATCGCCTAACCAATGAGTAGGGGAGCTTGGAGCTCACTTGGAGCTTAGACTGCTCTACACCTCGAGCTTCACACTGGGACCCGCAAGGCCATAAGATCAGTAGATGGCCCAAACATTCCTCCCTTGAACCCCCTAATCCGTAAATCCGGTAACTCTTCCTTCATGAACTCACGACCACCTTGGCGCATCTTACTACGCAAGTGGGTGACATAGTTATTTGCCGCCAGATACCCCAGCTCTATTACTTTTATTCCTGCTAGTGCTATTTCTATTACACTTACTTATCCTTACCTCTCATCTTTTACGTGTTCCTCAAGTAGGCAATGTACTTTGAACAGAATAGGAAGACGATTAACGATTCTGCGTTGACGCATTCCTATTTCATTGCCCACTTGGAACGGCTCTCCCAACCCGCCCGCCCGCTAAGACAACAGTGGACCCGGCCGCGCGCGACGAAAACAAAACCACCCACCATCCGGCCCCTCCTCACTCCCCGCGCCGCATCCCTCATCCGGGCCCGTCGGATAGCGCCCAACGACCTCCGGAGGTTCATATATGCTTGTGTTCCGTACCACTCCAGGCCGCTCATTCAAACAAACACATCGTGCGCGCGTCAAGCAACCCAACTCAACAAACCCTTTCCAAGATGCCTCGTCTAAATCCCCTATTCCTCCTATCCCTCACAGTCGCCTTGACAGCCTACATGCTTTCACCAACTCTCCGCGACTTTCTCACATCAGTGACCTCAACTCTCATACCTTCAACCTCCTCTCAATCTCCAGTCTCACCAAGTACGAGGAAACCGCGGATGCCAGTCTATTTCTTCTCCCACGGTGGCGTAAGCAAACCCTCCCCGTCCCTCACTCTCATCCCATCACCTCACCTCACCCCACCACACAACCTCACCAACAAACTAACACCCACAAAGCCAGACGTAATGTACAACAAAGCCCACCCAGTCTACCCAACCCTCCAACACATCGGCGCCGAAATCACCTCCCTCGCCCCGACCGCAATCCTAGTCTTCTCAGCCCACTGGCAACCACCATCTCAATCAACGCCGCCCCCGGCCCGGCACCCTTAATCTACGACTTCTCCGGCTTCCCCCTCCACTACTACTCAGCAACCTACCCAAACACCGGCTCCCCGCAGCTCGCATCCCGCGTCTGCTCCCTCCTCTCCGCCTCCAACGACAGCAACATCTCCTGCGTGCCCACGACAGACCGCGGCCTAGACCACGGCGTGTGGGCAGGCTTCCACGTAGCCTTCAACCCGTCCTCCAACCCGCTCAACGTTCCGCTAGTCCAAGCATCGCTCTTCCGCTCAGAGGACCCGGACGCTCATTATCGCCTCGGCGCCGCCCTCTCCGCCCTCCGCGACGAAGGCGTCGTTATCATTGGTGCGGGCATGTCCGTCCACAACCTCTACCACATGAGCAACGATCCGCGTCCCATGCCATACGCCGTTAGCTTCGACGACGCGCTCAAAGAGGCTGTCGAGGTTGCCAACGTCGCCGAGAGGCAGGACAAGATGGCTCAGGTCTGCAGACGGCCCGATGCCAAGCAGGCTCATCCGTACATGGATCATCTCATGCCCATTCACGTGGCTGCCGGGGCTGCGGGCGACGACCGCGGGAAGCAGCTGTGGACCATGAAAGAAGGCAGCTTCGCGTGGGCTCAGTATCGTTTTGGGGATGTCCCGAAATCCGTGGCATGATGCCATCACAAGGGCCTTGCATTCGCAGCAAAACCATGTATTAACATTGAATTTGGTAACAACACATCTATGATACCCGCGAGTCATCGTTAATTATAAAAGTGTCTGACAATAGACTTGCATTAATCGTTTTAGTGAACCGAATACGTCTCCATTACGAGAAATCCACAGTGTCTTCTCATACGAACGCCCCATGGACTGATGGCCGACGCCTACTGCTGAGAAAATTCTCCACCAAGTGATGGCTGCCAGCTGCTTCGGCCTTCCAGTCAAGGCTCGCGGTATCGGATTTCTCACCATCATGCGAGTCGCTGGAGTCTAGTAGCCGGCGAACGGATCCCCGCCTCTCCCTGGGAGACCCGCGATCATGGCTGGCCAGCATGGGACCAAATTGTTTCTCGATCGTCAACCTTGGGCTGGAAGCAGACGGTTGAAGTCCTTTTTGTAGTCCGGCGCGTCTGACTAATTTGACCGGAGATCGTGCCTTGGGCTGGAAGGGGGGCTCGAAACTTGCGGCCTTTGGGATGGCGTCCATGCTGCGAACCTTGGAAGCTTGTCGATCCACGGCTTTGACGGGTAGGTTACTATGAGAAAGACGAGACTGCAAAACCGGCATCGAAGGAGTCGTCCTCAAAGAGCTTCTGGGCGGAATTGGTGGAGGGTTGTAGATGCCACGAAGACGCCTAGCCACGCGTCCGTTCGTCTCAGGGATCGTGTTCTCGTCTCTCAAAGGTGTGGAGAACTTTGAATCGTCTATGCCATGCTCAACGCGGCTGGCAGACGACACTTGACGTGGGTTGTGGCTCGTCACTCTCAGCGGCGTTTGCAGTTTGGCCTTTCCTGTGCCCATAGCTCTGTACAGATTTGGAGATTCAGGGTCCTCAATCTCTGCGCGCTCACGCACATGACCCAAGCTTCTAGGCATACTTGTTTTTGCGTAACGAACTTCCGTCAGGTGCTGGTTCTCAGTATTGGCCAACTTGGCGTCGGCATGCGCCGCATTGGCAGAGAGCCAAGTCTTCCACTCCACAGAACTTGCGTTTGAGACCGTTCGGCTCCGTGGCATTGTCGGTGTATAAGTATAATGGCCACTTGGTAAGTAGCGTATTTGGTGTGTGTTCATCGCAGGCGTAGCATTAGGACTGTGATCCTTTGCAACAGGCTCCGAGTCGTTGGACATAGAGGGTATCTGTCGATAATCAGAACCGGCCACTATGTGGTTGGGGTGTCGGGGTGGCACTCTGGGTTCTGATTGTTCCCCGAAACTTTGTGGTAATGCCCGTGGGGAGAGAAGGTCGTCAGAGTATATACTTTCAGAGTAAGCAAGTCGGGGATCTTCCTTAGAGAGACTCGGGCGACGCCTTGTGGGTATAAGGTCGAGGTTTAGCATTGAAACCGATGGTGATAGTAACTGATCTGGAGCTGGAGCCTGTGACTCGGATCTGACCTTCTCTTGCAAGACCTTGCGATATGGACTCGTGGTGCGGAAGAGGTGGCAAGTCGGGCTGCCAAAGAACGCCGAACTGCGCGTGGACAATGCTCTTGGTGGATTCGCGGTCTTGTCGCCCTGCAAATTATACGGCTTCGAGGGCGAGTGGTCTGGTTCGACCCCGGCCACGGGTCTTGAGCAAGGCTTGTAAGACCCAATGGTAGTCTCAGAAGCCGAACGCTGGCGATGATGCATTGTGCTATCGGATGGAGACACCGCTTCATCGTGACCCGACTGAGGGGCCTCGGTCTCAACCACTGTTTGCAATCTTTGCTCCCAAGGACTGTCATGGAAGACGTCGTCCTCTTGCAAAATACATCTTATGGTTGGTAGGTCTTGATTCGTAGCTTCGTCAAGTTCCTGGCCGCCGAGGGATGTCGACGAATCAACTTTGCCATTCCAATTGAGACCGGTACTCCCATCACTACCATGCCGTAGCTGCTCTTCTCGTTGACCCTTTTGCTTGCATTCGTTCAATCGCTTCATGAGGGCGGAGTAGACTCTGGCGCTATCGACTGATGGGCCGAGGCGGACAAGTCCATCCTGTTGCGGAGATGGTAGTTCGGACTCGAATGGATTGCGGTCAGCCAGGCTTGGTCGCTGGAAAGAAGAAGAGGACTTATGTGGTCCAATCTCTTTGATGACGGACAGCCGCTGGCGCTCCCGCTCCCCGCCCCAAGTACTTTGACTGTTAAGAGTATGAGTGCCCGAGCTCGTCCAACTGGTGACGCGAGATTTCTCATCCGATGCCTTTCTTTCACCTCCAATGCTCTCTATGCTTCCTTTTCGCGAATGGAGCTTCTGGGTTGGGGAAGCATCGTGAAGAGACGGGACTCGCGAGGGTACTTGGGAGATCGAACACTCGTCCAGCAACACAGGATCCGCAATGTCCATGTATGCATCGTCCTGTTCGTTGTCAACGCCAACGAGATCTTGGACTACGTCCGAAACCTTTGAAGGAGGCTCGCTAGCTTCCACAACCAAATCATCCTTCTTGCTCCGGCGGAACATATCTTTCAATTTGCTTTTGAGACTGCTTGAGACTTTCCGGGCTTTCTTTCGTAGAGAAGCGTCTTTATTGATTACCAAACCATGTTCCGGGCCAAGGGATTGACCATCAGCGCTAAAGTCTCTCATGGATCGGCGTAAACTCAGAGACGCCTGACCCTTCTTTGCTTTCGAGAATATCGTCGATGGTCGCGGTTTTAATTGTCGTTGTTCCTCGACGTCTTTGCGAAAACTGTCCTCGGCTTCTTGGACTGCCAAATCGATCTGCTGTCGGCTTCCAAGTCTGTCAGAATCCAAAACGCCCCGAATTTTGAGGAAGCTCATTGACTTTGGGTTCCTCAGACCAAGAATCTTCTTCGGTGAGGGCTTGTTCTCCTTCATGTCTTGCATAGACTGTCGCAAGGCAGGCTGTACATTCTCCTGCTCCGGAGACTCGCCGAAGTATGTCTTGCTTGGTCGGCGCAGACCGGTCGGATTCAAGGGGGCAAACATTGAGCGTGACTTGCGCAGTCTTCGATAAGATGCTGGAGCAGGTGCACAATCGTCTGGAGACCCGAATGATTCGCTCGGAGGTAAAGAATTGATGTAGTTGGTCGTATAAGTGCTCACAAATGGACGCTCGGCAATACGACAAGTTTGGCTAGCGGGCTGATTGACAACATCTTTGAGGACGCTCCGGTGACAAACAGTCTCTACATCAGAGGAGCCATCGTTGATTTGACTTTGCTGTCGCTTGGTTCGAGCCCCTTGCTTCACAAATCGGATACTCTGCTGTCGGCGTAGACCCCCGGTATTGGAGCTGAGCCGATCCGATTCGTCTGGAAGCCGACTTGAGGGATTCTCCGACCAAGTCTTCAGGTTGACAGGCTTTTGGAATTGCCTCGAAGTCTCAAATCTCATGTCCATATCGGCATTGTGGTTCGCACGAGAGAAGGATAGGGTGGCAGCAATATGAGCATCTCTTTCGGCAGTGGCTGGATCAATGTGCTCTAATCGTTGAACAGCCGAGCGAACGGAAGCCGTAGACTTGCTTCGAGTCAGAGTCGACCTCGACTTGGTACTGTTATGTCGCCGCATAAGGTGAGCGTGGATGTATTAGGAGGAGGGCCTAGGCGGAAGGAAGACACCAACTCTCGAGGCGGCTTAGGAATAAAGGGAAGTAGAGAGATTCAAGTGAAGCTGCTGTCTGTCGGTCGACGTCCGGAAACTCGGCCTGGGGCTAACCAAAAGCAAGCTGGGAGACTATGAAGAAGTATCGTCGAGAGTGTCAAATGATGAGCCGTGGATGCTTGAAAAAGAGGACGTAGAGGAGGGACGTCGTCCCTTGAGCAGGGCCACTGACAACCAGCAGTCAGTGCAACGGCGAGCTCCATGACTGCTCCTTCTCCAGGGTTGAATGAACTTTCAAAAAGAAGAGGTGGGAAGCCACGTCATGTCCAGGCGAAAGAAGGAGAAACGCTGACTGATCCCTTCCCTTGGCCTTTGGGGGGCAGGCATGAGATGGCATCTGGGCAAGAGCCAGCCGTTGTGCCATTCCTTCCGCGCAGGGACCGAATCACATTCCAGTCTTCCCTCTTTTCCCCTTCACACAGCGAGCGCGAGGTGCAGAAAGTCAGGCAAGCCAACATTGGCTGGAAATTCAGGACCAGGTGGTTGAAATGCGTTGTCTCAATGCCAGATTGACTCAGATGACGGAAGCTAGCCATGCAGCCATGGCACTAATTCCCAAGGATTCTGTGACACTATTGTACCTTAATACACTCACTTCAATTCTATTTTGACTTGACAACTTGAACCCCAACGGCATGGCTGATAGGCTTACTCATGGACATCATTAAACTTTGGCATTCTCACGCTCGTCTAAGCCTCCTGGGGCACGGTCGACAGCAATGGCCAATTAGCAGACTTGAACAATCAAGATCACCGTGGGTGGAAATGGTTACAGTTAAGAAACTTATTGGTTGTGCTATGAGATCTGTATGTAGCTATGAAAGCGATGCATCCATCCTGTCCCATCCCGCAATAACCCTATGCGTACACTCTCATGGACCCAAAGAAAAAGGAAATAAAAGACCATTCTAGCGCTCTATTACAACGCTTACAAAGAGGTCTCCCTGAGGAACTCCTTAAGCTCCTCATCGACCAAGTTGTGGATCTTCTTGGCGAACTTCTCGGCCTTGGTGCCGACGCTCTTGGCACCCTTGACAACCTTGCCAGAGAGAACCTCGAAGTCCTCCTCAATGGCCTTCTCGAGGTCATCGATGGTGGTCTCCTTGGACTCCTGCTTGACAGTGTAACCGCCAGCCTTGACGATGGCAGTGTAGTTGTTGCAGCCACCGCCGTTCCAGGCGAGGACGTTGGGGGTGTCACGGGGAATGTCGCTGAGGGCACCGACGGTACCGACGGAAATAAGAGCCTCCTTGAGCTTCTTGGGGGTGATGGGAGCAACAGAGTACTCGGAGTCAGAAGCGGGCTGAAGAGAAAGGTAGTAGGCCAGGAGACCGCAGATGTGGGGAGAGGCCATCGAGGTACCGGAGATGGTGTTGACGGCGTACTTGCTGCCAATCCAGGTGGACTTGATGTTGGTGCCAGGGGCGAAGATGTCAGTGCACTTTCCGTAGTTGGAGAAGTAAGAGCGGCGGTCACCGAGCTCAGTGGCACCGACGGTGACGGCCTTCTCGGCAGCAGCGGGGGAGTAGTTGCAGGCATCGGCGTTGTCGTTGCCAGCGGCGACGGCGAAGTGAATACCAGCATCGACGGCGGCGTTCACAACAGCATCGAGAGCCTGGGTCTTGCCACCACCGAGAGACATGTTGGCGACGGAGCCCTTGAAGCCCTTGCGCTTGCCATCCTTGGCGGCCTGAACCTGCTCAGTGTGGGAAGTGGCAGCCCACTCAACACCCTTGACGACGTCGGACATGGTGCCGGAGCCGTTGGAGCGGAGAACCTTGACGGCGTAGACGTTGGCCTTCTTGGCGACACCGTACTTCTTGCCAGCGATAGTGCCGGAGCAGTGAGTGCCGTGACCGTTGCCATCAGCGTCCTGGTCACCAGAGGGAATGGTCTTTCCCCACTTGGCACGGCCCTCGAAGTCGACGTGGTCGACGTTGGTGCCGGTGTCGATAACGTAGGCATCAACACCTTCACCAGCATCCTCAGCGTAGAGGTACTTGTCATATGTGCCGAAGCCGAGAGACTTGCGGTGGGAGACACGAGCCAGACCCCAGGGGGCCAGCTTCTCGAGCTCGCCGTCACACTTGTCCTCAACCTGGGACTTGACGGGAACTTGAGTGTGGACAACGGAGTCGACCTCGATGAACTCGACCTGTGAAGAAGCATGTTAGTGACTGTGTCAGGAAATGAGGCTAGGAGACCGAAAACGGCCGAGCCGAGCTTGAGAGCCCGAGCCCGTCAGGGTCGGACAGCCAAGACCGCCTCTGCCGTAGACTGCAGCGATGGTGGGTCCACCGGTTTGGGGTGCGTCTTGGATCTCGGGACGAGGGTATCAGGGTCGGACTTACGTCAGGGTGCCTCCGGACCTTCTCGATGGTGGCATCATCGAAGTGACCGGCGTAGCCCAAGAAGTCCTTGCCAATCTTGTATGTGTGCTTCAAGCCGTGGAAGACATCGTCAACCATGGGCTCCTGGCCACGCTTGCGCAGCTCAAGACGCTCATCCTGAGCGGAGGAGTGAATGTTCTGGACCCAGTTGTGGTGGTCCGAGGCGCCGGAGTCCGAGACGTGCTTCTTGAACTTGACGATGTATGAGTTCGGGACAGCCTCGGCGTTGGTGGAAGAAAGAAGGGGAGCAGCGCCGTCGTGGACAGTCTCAATGGAGAGAGAGGGGGTAGCGCTGGCAACAGCGGCCAGGCCGGCCACAGCACCGATGAAGCCTCTCATGATGGGCGGTGTTGTGGTGGTGAGTAGAGTCTACCGGAGACGCTGGTTGTGATGACAGAGAAGGAAACTGAAGCTGCGAAGGACGCCAAGGACAGACGAATACTCGATGGGATTGAGAGGATGGATGGTCGATGAAGGAGGGGGAGGGATGGGAGAGAGATGGAGCAGAGAGATAGACGATGGAGCTGTCGGAGAGCGGGAGCGGGTAGATATAAAGGGAAGGCAGCGACAGCGGTTGCGTGCGCACAGCTCTAGGTGAGGTATCGGCCTTAGGATGGTTGCGCCGCCCCAGTGTTGCCAGTGTGTGACGCAGCCAACCAAGATAAGAGCTGGAGGGTGGCTGACGGGGCCGAAACCGGCTTAGCGCGATGGCGAGAGAGCCAATGGAATGACTCGATAGGGTTTCCTCGGCAATGCGATAAGGGAAGTACTGGGACAGTCTGGGAGGGTCACGTTTGGGGTTTCCCTGGGACAGTCCCCGCTTACAGGCAACAAGTACGTACCTGATTCCTGCTGGGAACCCAGTACCTTAGGGTAGGTAGAACGGTAGGTACCTTTCCACTTTACCTCGAGCAGCTTGTCACTTGTTCGATACGGGAGGCTGCTTCAAAAGAGGACGGAGGACGGGGATGGGATTGTGCAAATGGGCGATAGCAAGCTACTTGTCCAGGTACCTCTACTTCTCCTCTTTCTTTCTGGCGGCACGATGCATCCGCCAGGAACACAACCAATCCGGCCTCCGTCTGTTGGGGAAGCTTCACCCAAGCTTCCCGCCATCGACAATGTGCCTGCCATGCCATGCTGCTTTTCTATCGTCTTTCACCGTTTACGCTCATCCGGATCTCTAAAGACTATTTCCTTCCATGTCTTAGCAACATTTCTCAAATTCTCGTGGTTGCAACCGACAAGCAAACACGCATGACTGATTATTGCACCTTGAGAGCCAGAGTCAGAGCTCTGAGGGCGACGTCATACCCCCGAGGCTATCTGACCGAGTCCTAATAGCCAAGGCCGATATGGAGGCAATCAGTCACAGCAGAGCATGGGGCAATGTACTCCGTGCTTCGCCCTGTCCAACAGCCTCGGGGTCTCACTCTTCCTCACGACCTATAGATCTTAAGTGACAATCAGCCCATGGCTACGAGGGTGATTTCTCATTTCTAGAAAACCTTCCTACGGATACGGTTGACAGCTTTCAACCGACCATCCCAAGCATCCCCAAAGCAACGGACGATCAAGCCAGCACAGCGCCAATGCCATGCCAGATGTGCCAGGCACCGACCGGGCAGCACAGAGGCACAGCCTACCGACCAGTCGCAGCTTGGGAGCACCGGCTCCCTGGTCACGAGCAAGTCGAGAAGATGTACCGCGCTATCAGCATTCCTCAGACATTCTTCACCCACTTCTACTAATCCACAACCAAGCTCCCCCTCCCAACCCACCTGAGCACACCCACCCAGTCCGCATATCCCGCATAACGCTGCATGCGATAACGCGTAATGGACGATTCACGGAGCGGAGGGCGAGGCAGATCTATCCGGAGGACCCTGAAGCTTAACAAGCGCTGCCATCCCGTCTTATCTCGACACTCGAAGCTTTCGTCGTTTTGTTGAGCTCTGTGGTCGACCACTCATGGGGGTAGAGACCCAAATCCTACATGTCGTGTGCTGGCAGTACGAAGTATGCATCGTGGTGTTTGTCCGGATCTGCTATTGCCTGCCTGGCTTCGGGACGCAGGTCGGCGTCTCGTCTCGGTTCCTTCTAGCCTGCTGGGCTGCCGGCTGCCACATTGAGTAAGGAACATGCTCAACGATGATGCGATTAACTGTAATAAGGTGTCCGGCGCAGCTGGGTCTTTGTGTGGATAAGACCTACCCGGGATTAAATCCAAGGCGAAGAGGGTACCAGGTTCCGGAGCCACTAGGTAGGCGATTGCTTTGTTGGTCTCATCAATGCCCCCAGCACCCAAAGATCCAAGGTGAAGCTGGCGGGCGGTTGTCG